ACATCCCGGCCTATTGTCATCTATTATTATTATTATTATTATTATTATTATTATTATTATTATTATTATTATTATTATTATTATTATTATTATTACTATTACTATTATTACTATTATTATTATTCTATCCAACTATTATTCTATCTTTTTATTATTATCTATTCTATCTATTCTATTTCTATTTCAGTTTCTGGATTTCTACAAAGGCAGGGGAAAAAAAACCACCCCAGAGGAAGATATCTGTATTTCTGTGTTTGAATCCAACCAGGTGTCTGAATCCACAAGCGAGAGGGAAAAAAGAAAGTAAAGCTAATTCCCAGTGCTTCTCAGTGTTCAAAAATCCCATTGAAGTGAGTGGGTAATGCAGCTACAAGAGTCTGCACCAGAGAATACCAAAGTTCCTACTGAGATGCCTGAATGGATGTTCAGAGAAGCTTTGTATGAAAACACTTAACTTTGTAATGCAAGAATAAAGAATGTTTTAAAAATTACTAATTTAAGGATTATTTTCCGAGGAGTTGTTCAATGAGCAAAGCCTACACAGAAATATGTATTTGTGGGTATCTGGGAGGATCTTTAAAGAATGCAGCGAGCCTACAACATTGCAATATTTCCTATATTTACCTGTGGTAACAATGTCCTGTAAGGAAAACTTCTATTCAAAAAGAAGGTCAACAAGAAAGGTTGAGGAAATGTTTCAAAATAGTGAAAAAGTGATTAGTATTTTATCTTAGGTTCAAGGGCAGGTAAGAGGATAAACTTAAATTTTTAGAATTTGGGTGTTTGGGTGTTTAGACGACCTTTAAAGATCCCTTCCAGCACAAATTATTTTGATGCCATGAGTCTCAATACTGTTCTGGTTTAGAATTTACATAGTCAAAAGGAAAGTAGCGCTAACTACCTACCAAGGTTTGCTTTTTGGGTAAGGGATGAGAATTCAGGTTTCAATTCGTTTGCAGTTTCTGGTTGAGTAGTAAGATGCTTCCCAGACCCAACCATAAAATATTAATGCAGGGCATCCAGTAAAAAGGGCCCAGGTGAAGATGAATCATTTGGAGCAGTCAAAAACTTTTCATGCATTTGTGGAAACGGCCAATTATTTAGCACAGCAGATGTGAACTGAGATTGCTTCCCCCACTTCTGCTGTTGCATGGTACAGATTTGGGGTTTTACACCAGGCTTTTCTCAGAAAACCCAGCAGCACATGTATATATATGTTTATATTTGTATTTATATGTTTATATCTGTGCAGGCACTCTCCAGACACCTGTGAGCACCTGTGCATCCTCACGTACACCTGTGTGCACATCAGGCAGACAATTCCTTCTTCAAGGAGCTTGGAAGGTCTGGCTTCCCATTTCCATTGCTTTTACAAGTCGTGTCAGACTACAGCTGAATAGCAAAAGGGGGCGGGGAGAAATGTGACAAGAGCATAGACAAAGTGAGTGTGTTTGCTCTCACAGCTTTGCCTCCTGCCAGCCTTGAACTCCACAAGTCACAGGAAACTGTTGGGGAACCAAACAGCTATAAAGGATGGGTGGCATTCCCTCCACGGTGTTCCTGCACCAGATTTTAATTTCAATTTTAACACAATTTCCAGGGGAACAACTTTGTAAGAACAGTGCTCATTCATCTACACGCAGATTAAATTTTTATAACTTTGTGTATTATTCTGAATTCCAAATAAAATCTTAACCATGGCGCTTTTTCAGATGTATGCAAGGATACTAAATGCAATATAGGATGGCAAAAATATTAAATATAAAAAAATACATTTCTCCCACTGAAACTTATGCCACTTTGTATAATAAACTTTGAAGTATTAAACAGGATGATTGCACCAGGTAAGATAAAGAAGAGGAGCCACAATTTTAATATCTTCATCCTCAGATTTCTGGAGACTGTGCTTTGTAGAAGCAAGTAATTCCATATATTACCGTTTTCAAAACAAGCCTGAATGTGATCTGCCCTGTGAACAGAAAAACATCTGTTCTATTTTTATTATTTTCTTAAATAAAGGGATAATCTTTATGTTAATAATAAACAAAAAAAACCCCACACAGAAAATATAGGATATAAATTACACATAATAGGTTGTCTTTTTTCTTTGTGTAATTAACTATATATGATTTATCTTTAGTGCTGTTAATTATAATAAAACTCTGACTTTCTCTAAAAAAAAAGCCCAAAAGCCATTAATGTTTCATTTACATTTCTCATAACATAATGTATTGTGTATTAGTCCTTTGAACCATCACTCCTTACTGTCTGTGTTCCAATGTGATCAAAGCAAACATTTTAATTAGGACACTGACCAAGAACAGATTAACAATAAACTTAAAACACCATTTCCATGCAGCACTCGTTAGGATTTGCTGATGTTAAAAATGCTGTGATGTTCAGACCAAGACACCTGCATTAAGATTTTTTAAAGAGTAGCACTCACACTTGCTGACTTTAACTACAACCTGTATACTAAGGAAAACACAATGTATTATTGATCTCTTGGAGTCTGAGGCAAGAGCTTTTTCAGTGAATAGAACACACTGCTGATTTGGCAGTGTAACCAGAAATGAACCTTCCGATATTTTCTCTCTTATTCCGAGTTATAAATTACACTTTCCCATAACATTGACAGGGAATTCCATTTTGTTACACATTATATTCTTGTGTCTGTAGAATTGTACGCTTTTTTGTTTGTTTGTTTGTTTGAATGAGCAAGCCTTTTACTTCATCAATATCTTAATTTTTTAGTGTGTTTAATGACAGGCTGACACCGGGTCACTGTCAATATTTCTTCTTCCTACCATAGTCCCCAAATGAGCAGCAATTCACATGAAGTGCTTTAAAGTATTTGCAGATTTTGACAGTTTTCTATCGCACATCAAGGGAAGCAAAGTAGAAGTTTAGTAAGTTTTGAGTCTTATTTCCTCTCCTATTGAAGATACAGAAAAAGATAAAGAAAGAAAAAGGGATGAGAGTCATAAAGAAAATTGCCTATTCCAACAAATCTAGAAAGATAAGACTACTGAAAGGAGGCCAAATAGCTAATTGAATTCTGACATTAAAATATTATTTGAATTATAGAACCAACATCAACACTTTTGTTATGAACTTACAGTGCTGCAGAACACTTGTTATAGGCAATGATTCCTACACATATAGGAAAGTCATTGGCCAAGTGTTGCCTGTTAATTCTGTTCCTAGATTACATTTTTCTTTTCAGTTGGCTTGTTTATGGTTTGGACCTCTTCTGACCTATTAGTGAGCACACTAAGTCTGTCATTCTGCACTGTGCAATTTAATTAAGCAACAATGAACCAATTATACTAAGCTGTGTTTTAGGGAAATTACTGATAAAAAGTGCAGTATGCTTTCATCCCCATCTTGCTACATGCACAGGCTTAGAACTGCCTCAAATTCTTTTTTCACTATACCAAGATTAGAAGATTGTGTGATGTACAAAAAATCTTACACATTTTTCAAGTTTACACAT